TGAGGGACCGCCCCCCCCCCCTCGAGTGCATAAATTTTTGTGCACCGGGCCTCTAGTCAATAATAATCATAATTACTTTTCTCTGTCATATTTTCCTCACCTACAAATTAGGAGAGAATATTTCTTACATAAATATGCAATGTTGATATAGGAAATAACAAAAGGGGTGGTAAAGCATGAACAGAATCTCACTCAATGTATGTATTCACAGAGAGAGATGATGATTAAATTTTATTTCAGGACTACTTTGTTTATCTCCGTTTAGTAACTTAACTATATGAAGGACCCATATTAAAATATGAAAAAAGGGTGCTGCTAAAACAATCACTCACAAGCTCATTCAATTCATATTTATTCTTAGGGAATGAAAGTTGAGCTTCCCCTGACTCAAACAAATATTCAAAATTTCTATGGATTATTTCTTCAAACAATTAACATTTAACATAAATATACATAAGCCAGTGGTTATAGATCTAATTCTCCCTATTTTAGTGATAGAGTCTCTGATATTTTCCAAATTAATACAAACTATGAATAATAATGGAAGAAACTGTAATTAAGTTGCAAAAATAGAATATTAGAGACACAGAGATTCTGAAAGGTCCTAGTGTCATTTATTGATTTTTAAAAAGTTGTATTTCAAGGTTTTATATTAAATGTTTTTATTCAAATATATCAGTCAATAAAAATAAGAAATCAAGATTTTAAAAAACAATTATGGTGAAAAAGCACAATCTCCCTCAGATTTCTTCAGAACCCCAGTAAAGAAATGCATACACAGTAAAAGTCAAAAGTATACTAAAGTATCAGATGAAATGGGCAAATTAAAATAATCTACACTAATAAAAGAGAAACATGCAAATTGGTGTCACTCCGCTATGCCCACCAGGCAATCAGAGCGACTATGCAAATTAACCCAACAAAGATGGCGGTTAATTTTCATACACAGGCGCGGAGCGAAGGCTAAAGGCTCCGGCCAGAGTGAAGACTGAAGACTGGAGACTGAAGACTGAAGAGGCTTGGCTTCTCTGCTGCGGCTGCAGTGGAGAAACCAAGCCTCACTGCGGCCAGAGCAAAGGCCTAGGTCCCGGGTGCTGGAGGAAAACCGGTGCCGGCAGCCAGGGAAAGGAAGGCCGATTGCGTGAATCTTCGTGCAACGGGCCTCTATTTGGGAATAAAAAGATAATCCTAATAGAAAACTATCTATATATATAAAAGCCTAAGCAACCGGAACGCCAGAACAACCAGAACAACTGGTCAGTATGACACACACTGATCACCAGAGGACAGATGCTCAATGCAGGAGCTGTCCCCTGGTGGTCAGTTTGCTCCCACAGCCAACCTCCCGCAGCCGGCCAACCTCCCCTGGTCCCTCCCCGCTGCTGGCCAATCTCCCACAGTCCCTCCCCCTGTACAGCATGAAGGCCCCGGCGGGCAGCTGGAAGGCCCCCACCCATTCACGAATTTTGTGCACCAGGCCTCTAGTCTATATACATAAAAAGCTAATATGCTAAGTGTCCAACCTTCCTACCGGTTGCTATGTTGCGCACTGACCACCAGGGGACAGACGCTCAACACAGGAGCTGCCGTGACAGGCACTGGCCATTTACAGAGAAACGGCACCGCAGACCTGGCACCCCCAAAGCAACACTCGGCTTTCCCCAAGTGGGACACAGGCCCCACAACCACCCCGGAGCAAGAACCGACCAAATCGCAGCCGACACTGCTGAGAACCCATGGCGCAAAATGCAGCCCACAGCCCAGCCCAGCCCGGAAACGTTGGCTGTAGGCGCCAGGTAATGACGTCACGCAGCAACACCCGGAATCTTCTCCCTAGTGACTAGCGTCCTTGGAGTTTCTTAAGCCCAGGAACATGACTTGCTTTATAGCCTCAGGTGCAAATGCAAACATTTCACATTTTAACCAAATGTCTGTGAAGTGTTTTTCCCATGCCTCATCTCATTTGATCCTCACAGAAGTCCTGGAGTAGATAGATAGGAGACTCGGTGGAATCCTATGTTCTTTTCATTAGCCGAAAAACGGAGATTTAGAAAGTTTAGAAACTAGACCCGACTGAATAGAAGAAATGATGGACCTTGAAAATGACTGCCGGTTTTCTCACTGTGCAGAATATAGTCAAGCACTGCTGCAGTTAAATATTTTACCCTTTGTTCTCCCTGCATGATCTACAATAATAATCTGCTTTGTGCTGATATTTACTGCTGTGTTGCTGACAATTACCTGAAAGAGAAGTTGGGGTGCTTCCCTCGGCTGGAAAAAGTTTAGCTACATCAGAAAGCAGGTCTAATTAAGCAAGTTTATCTATATATATAAAGCTCTCGCTGGCACCAAACGACACCTGTGTTTCGATCTGTCATTGTCGCTCTTGAATTTGGTTGGCACTTCTATTATAGAGAAAGGGCGAATAGCAATAATAAAATATTTCTTCTAATTAATTTCCTTTCAATGTGCACAAATTCGTGCACTGGGCCACTAGTAGCTAAATAAGAACCAAATAATACTATTCTTATATTTTTGTCTAACAATGTTTTTTATTGGGTAGGGGTCGGGGGGGGAGACACATATATTACCAATGTATTGCTTATCTTTTACACTGTGGCTTCCTGAAATACAAGGTATATGTCTTGGTATGAACCACACTGCTAAATATATTTATTTAGTTGACAAATAATGGATATTATGTTGAGCACAAAGCTAGGTCCTGATAATTCTCAAACTTCTGAAAAAAAGAACTATACCAGCCTCAGTGATTATATCTGAACTAGAGGCCCGGTGCACGAATTCAGCCGCCCCGCCCCATGGTGGAACAACCGGTCAAGGGGACAATTTGCATATTCCCCTTCTATTATATAGGATGAGGCCCAGCGCACGAATTCGTGCATGGGTGGGGTCCCTCAGCCTGGCTGGCAATCAGGGCCGATCGGGGCCAGCTGGATAGAGGGAGAGACCACGGGAGGTTGGCTGCCTGAGGGAGGTTGGCTGTGGGAACGCACTGACCACCAGAAGGCAGCTCCTGTGTTGAACGTCTGCCCCCTAGTGGTCAGTGCACGTCATAGCTACCGGCTAGCCGTCTGGTTTAAAGGATGGCTTAGGCTTTTATATATAGAGAGAAGATATCAAAGTAAGGAAAACACAAATAAATGTTAACAAGATTCCAATAAAAGATACCTGACAATGCATTTCCACGATGAGCCATCTTGATCATCTTGTTCTTCTATGTACATTCTGACATTGTGATCTTGATCCAACTGGTACCAGTACATGAGGCCATCTTTGTCTCGACCAATTGGCTGGAGACGCATGGTATCGGCATCTTCCTCATTGATAATATTCTTGAATTTGAGATTGTCATCAAACTGACACTCACAGAGGTACTAAAAAATAGTTAGAACATGGCTTAAGATATCCCACATAAATGTTTCTTCATTAGAGTTAAGTGTGATATGTTTAACCACAGAACTGATTCAAGGACAGAAACAGAAAGAACACATACAGTTTATTAATCTTTTACCATACTCTCCTCCCATTTTTACAACCTGCTTAGAACAACTAATTTAAAAAGATAAATTTCAAGTTAACAAGTTACTTTAATGTTATATAAATTTACAGTTTCAGCCGAAACCGGTTTGGCTCAGTGGATAGAGCGTCGGCCTGCGGACTGAAAGGTCCCAGGTTCGATTCCGGTCAAGGGCATGTATCTGGGTTGCGGGCACATCCCCAGTAGGAGATGTACAGGAGGCAGCTGATCGATGTTTCTCTCTCATCGATGTTTCTAACTCTCTATCTCTGTCCCTTCCTCTCTGTAAAAAATCAATAAAATATATTTAAAAAAAAAAAATTTACAGTTTCAATACAATCAATGACACAAAAATCAGTTATATTTTAAAAGCACTGAGTCTATTTGCAGTAAGTCACCCAAAATGTTTCATGGTGTAAAGTTTTCACTGATTCTTTCTCTCTTAAAGCTTTTAAATGAACATTATTCTTGAAATGGCTATCTGTTTTTGAAAGCCTGAAATATATGCAGTTTTCAAGGAAGGTAGTCTGAATGACAGCTGCCTCTAAAGAAGTATCTTCATAAAAAGATATCTATGTTACTAAATGAGGAACTGACTTAACTTTTTGTTAAATATTTTTATATATGATTAGGGTGTAAAGTCAGGATTCTTCCCTGAGACTTTCTGCCCGAACAGATAATACATGAATTTCCTATCTCAGTCTCTTTGTTTTTGCAGCAGTCTCTTTTTTTGTGAAAAGTATTGTTTTCCTTCATTATGCTGGCTACCTTGCTAATAATTAGGGCCAACACTCTGAAATGGGTAGTAAGAGAAAAGGAAACTCAAACTTGAAAATAAATCTACTTTGAGACCTATTTTATTTTAATCTAGTTGGTTTGGTTAAGTGGTATGCCCCTAGTCATCTGGAAAACTACCAAATTACTAATTTAGTAAATCAGTAAAAAGATTAACCAGTTTACAGTATGTGTTAGCAATGACTGTGAAGGCTAAAAACAATGAATAAAATTAATTTGGGGCAATTGCTTGCCCATTCTACTACAGAACCTATAAGCCCAGATAATTAAATCTAGATATACTTTTATACTAAAACAAAACCACAAAGAATAATTTAAAGAATAGAATTTTGCCACCAAAAAAAAATAAAAGAAAAAAATCTAATGTCCTTTTCCAATAATAACAGAAATGTCTACTTTCTAGTTATTTTTCCAATTCAACCAGGAGTGAAAGTGAATTTTTAAATTAAAATAATTGTAACAAATAATAAACTTATTACCTTTAGGAGCGCTAGTTTGCATTCAACACTCATTTCGAGATAGCCTTTCTTCTCCATCTCCCATGCCCAAGTGCTATTAAACTCTTGGCATATCTGTCAGAGAAAGTTAATATCTTAATACATAAAAGTTTTATTTAATAGATAGTTTTGCTGTATGATTATGGTAAGTATTCTTGATATTATATGTTTATAAAGGAAAAAGTCTGTAACAAACAATGCAATCCAATTCCAACCCCAAATGCATACTACTTAAACACACCGAAATGTTTATTGCTGACTGCTGACTAATCTAAGGTAAGTACCGATCTCTGCAGCTCTCTCCTCTGACTATCAAAGATATTATACATATTTTTGTGGCACATTTTCCCAGATGCAAGTAATTACCTGATTCTGTCTCTCAATTTGGCCTGGAAGTTCCTGGATGGCAAGCACAATAGTTTATTAATATCTATGACTAGAACAGAAAATTTAAAAAAACATGCCAAACTATAGGCATATTTAAAATCAAGCTACTTTGCAACTAAATGTTCTCTTATTTATGGGTAAAGATTTCATTGCTTGCCATTTCAGACCTTCTATATCAGTGGTTCTCAACCTTGGCTGCACGTGAGAATCACCTGGGAATCTTTTTAAAATCCTGATTTCTGGGCCTCATCCTCCAGAAATTGTTTCTTTGTTACAAATGTTGTGGC